TCTTCTTTTTTCTTAGCTTTTCTGTATTTACTGAAAGACAGTAATTTAACCTTAGCAAAATTAATCAAGAATAAATGGCTAACAAGTTTAAAACTGGTGTAAAATATTAACATAAATGGATAAATTACTGAAGTAAACTAAATACCGTAAGCTCATTGTTTTAGGTTAAAAGCAAACTAGTTTTTAACAAGCAACAAATTAGTTTTTAACAAGTTTTTAAAAGCGAAAAAGTTTCTTCTTAAACTCCTAAACCTGCTAACAGGAGTTTTAGCTTATGTGCTATCATACAGTTACTATCTTCAAGTCTGTCAAGAGAATTAGATTGACTGTGATCTCCTGTGTGCCTTAAGGTGAAACCTCAAATACTTCAAGGTTCATCAAACATGAAATTTCAACCACTAAAACACAGCGCAGCAATATGTAAACAATTTGGCTTATTTTCAGATTTAAAAGTTCTGCCAGGAAAAAAAGCATCTTAAAAAGTTTCAATCCTTCAATTAGCATCATGCAGGCAGGCTTCTGCATGAACAGATCTCATTGCTAGTTTGGGAACTGACACTCCAGACCTGCAAACACTTAAACACTAACTTAACTTGACTGTTATGAGTAGGCTTACTGAAACTAGTGGTGCTTCCCATGACAATAAAGTTAAGTACATGTCGATGTGTATAAAGGATCACGCTTCAGCTTTTGAATTTCAAGACAAGTGAATGACTTCAGATGTACTCTATAAATAACCAAACAAAATGTTTAAAACTAGTTTCCTACCTTCACCATTTTTCTGAAGTGTTTTCTGCTTAGATATCCTCTCCACCACCTCTGTATAGTAATCGCCATTTGGTTCAGATATCTAAAATGAAATATATTACCAAAATAACAATTACTTTGAGAATTACAACTTTATTTTTTCCTAATCTTAAAGACCAAAGTATTACCCATACATATTCCAAACAGATGGCCACTGCAAACATACTCCATACATATACACATATGTGCACACATACACACTTATAAACCAATTTACACATATATTTACTCATGTACACATACATAAATATGTGTGCTTTAGGAAAAAATGGGTTACTGAAAACTTTTATCTATGTACTCTTTCAGTTATAATTACAAAAATTGAATGAAATAGCCCTAGAAATGTAATTTGCATGGCAGATGATGGTATTTTCATTGATGGTTTAAACTAACATCTGACCAGTTCAGAATCTTTATCAATCACATGCAATATTTTCACAGCTTTCGAATTTTTAAAGATTTGACAAATCCCACAAATATCTGGAATTTTTCAAATACTTTTTTCTTTTAGAAAATTATATCTAGCTTAATTCTAAGTAAATCCTTACTCTGTCCTTATATATATGCTTTATTATAGAATCATAGAATTATGTGACTAAAAATTCCATAATTGATGTCTCACATCAATTTCACAGAAACTAATACAATCATTACTTTGGGACTGGCTAGAAAAAGCTATGTAGGGGAGTATTTGTGCCACCTAACCAGCGCCAAATTTAGAACCTTTGCAATACAGCTAGAGTCACTCAGTGGAGGAATTTTTTTCCAGCAGATAATTCAAACGAGAGACTAATTCAGAACACTCACAACTGGCTATATGAAGCCTGTGCTCCTAAATCAGACACCACACCCGTGTTTGGAAAGAGGACATTGAGCAGGATTACTCTACGCAGTTGCAGGGAAAATCCCCTTCTACACTTAGCCGATCTAGTTCTTGTGTGTTCATTACAATCATGTTGTTCTTACAGTGGTCAGTACTAACTACAAACGTGCATGTGGAAGAGCATTTTCCTACAGAATAGATTGGCAAAGACACTTGGGGTTTACTTTCTTCTGCAGCATGCTGTTGTTACTCCTGTGCTGGAAACAGAGGGGCACTAACCAATCCTCTGTCTTCGCAAGGGCTTTTGACACTGACGGCATAACTGATAATCCTTGGAGAGTGGAAATACCATGTTTGTTTGCATGCTGAGCGCTTGCGTGTGATTGTTGTAACCTGTGATACCACACTTGAACCAGCACTGGAAAACAAATTATCGGTGCTTTTTTAAACAACAGCACATAATGGCTGTAGCCTTTCTTTTTGTGAGGGAATATCTGCCAGGAAGTGATTAATGTTACTCAACCTAATAATTCTTTAGGCTTCATACAGTATGCTTGGATGACACATAATGACTTGCAACAGGCAAGAGGTCAAACTAGAAGATGCAGCAAACCTTCCTCCTCACAGTCCTAATTTTTATGCAGACACAAAAATTTGATCACATGAGTTAGACTAGTTGGGCTTATGACCAAAAAAAAAAGGAGAATGGCCTCCTGGGAAAAGAGACCAACCATAGCGTTTCCAAAAAAAAAAATATCAATGTCAACAGTAATACCATGAGGAATTCTGGCAAAAAAAAAAAAAAAAAAATCAAGATTGAAATATAGATTAAGACAGACTTAATATACTACCTCAGATAGGATCGGACTCTACATCCTTGAAACCAGCTCTGGATTTTGACGGCAGCTTTGTACTCTATTTTTCTTTCTTCATCTAGAGATCTGAAAATAGAGAGTAGTAATATTTGTCAGCATGGTAATTTAGTACATGCAGGCTGAGAGAACTAGGGTGTTCAGCCTGGAGAAGAGAAGGCTTGGAAGTCATTATGACAGTCTTCCAATACATAAACGGGGCCTACAAGAAATCTAGAGAGGGACTTGTTACAAGGACATGCAGTGACAGGACAAGAGAGAATGGTTTTAAGCCAAAAGAGGGTAGATTTAGGTTAGATATTAGGAATAAATTTTTCCCTATGAGGGTGCTGAGGCACTGGCACAGGGTGCCCAGAAAAGCTGTGTCTGCCCCATCCCTGGCAGTTGTCAAGGCCAAGTTGCATGGAGCTTGGAGCAACATGGTCTAGTGGAAAGTGTCCCTGCCCATGACAGGGAGTTCGAACTGGATGAACTTTAATGTCTCTTCCAACTCAAACCATTCTATGACTCAAAACACACATGCTCCAAAAATACGTCAAAGACCCAGGCAAATTTGACATGCAGTAATAAGCCAGAATTGTTTGTTCAGTCTAGAAGTTAAATAAGGATCTACCAAGTTCTCTAAACAAGTTATTCTGATTTGTTTCAGGACTTTCCTTGCAGCTGTGTTGAATTAGTCTGAGATTCTCACCCTAAGGAACAAAGATCAGATTACTGATCAGCCTTTCAGATGCTGAGCTGGACATTTTGAAGCCTCTTATTTAAATTCTCAGCTGAAAATCTAAATTTCAAGAAACTGATGGATTATAGCCTATTCCTAAATCTGAACAAAAACCCCAAATAACAAACCATATTTTGAAAGCTCTGCAAAAAACAAAAAAAAACCAAACCAAAATAAAACAAAAAAAATCCAACCAAATCCCCAAACCTCAAGCATGTTGCCCTCCAATGGTTTAGCATGTCTGGCCCAGCTTGTTCTTTTTAACTTGAAATATGTGAAATACAAGCATAGTCTCCCATAACTGATGCTTATTTAGTGAACTGATGCATGCACAGCCACAAGAGTACAAGCTAAAGTTCTGGGAAACAGCAGGAAAACACAACACATTATATGCATGCAGGGATTGAACTCTGTGTAACTTTTAGTGATGTTCAGGAGCTTTGTTATTCATGATAATGATGTTGTAATTAGATTCTAAACCAAATTATTCATTAATTAGTGAAGAAAAACATAACACTACATGTATGTTAATATTGCTTTTTTTTTTGTTTCAGTGTTACCACTACCCATACAGCAGCAGCAGCAACGCAGTTGCTACAGAATAAATGGATGAAATATTAAAACAGTTCTTAAAACATTTTATTTCCTAAAATCTGATCCGGGAAAAGTTACCCACTACTACCTTAGCACTCAGAAAACTCAGAGATAAATGCAGAAAACACAGAGAAAACACAGACTGTCCTGCTTATGAAGAGAAAGGTAAGAGGTGATCATCAGCCTGTTACTCTTCATGGGACATTTTGCATCTTTAGCAGAATAAACACCTCCTTTCCTCAGCAGGAAAAGACAAAGTATGTCCCACGTACTAGAAACTTGAGCATAACCTGATTGAGAAAGGAATTGTAAACAGTGTGGATAACAGTAACTTGCTTAGAAGGTGGTGGTGGCCTGGGGAGGAATGCCTGTGTCAAGTAATGACAAAGAACAAAGCAACTGGTGCCTTCCAACAGGATCAGTATAAGTTATAGATTTAGACCACCGCCTGGACCTCGGGAGGCTCACCGGCTCTTGGGGCCTTCCAGCAGTTTCCCCATGGAATTAGCAAGGGGCGAGGGAAGCGCGGGACACTGTTGTCAGACGCTGCTGACACCAGGTCTCCTCAGATCACTGCAGCGAGATTTGGGGGTCGGAGTGAGAGTGCTCTCCGGAGGGGTTGTGAATTCAAACCGTTTTCAGCGGGAGGGCCTCGATCCCGTTGGTGGGGGAGCCTGCAGCTTGCCCGCCCCTCCATCCCCAGCTCCGCAGGCACTCACCGCCGGCAGGACGCGGTTACCTGTTTCTACGGAACCACTCTTCCCGCAGCAGCAGCAACTTCGCCTCAAGCCTAGCTACGGCCTCCATGCTCTCCCCCTCCTTCCCGCCCACTCGACGCCGCCACCATGGCAACGGGACCGTACCTCTCCGCGCGGGGGACGACGTGTCGCTTCCCACCGTAGTCCTAACGGCAGAGAAAAGCGAAGCACTGACGGCAACGAGAGCACCGCATAGCCGGACTAGAGCGGAAGCAGAGCCAAAGTAAGGTGCGCGGCAAACGACGCGGCGGCTGTGGGCAGCAGTCCGGAGACGGGGAGGAGAGATGGTAGCGCCCGGCTTCCTCCCGGTGCTGCAGCTGCTTCCGGGCTCTCATCATGGGGGCCTGAGGAGCAGCGCTGGCCGCCTGCACCCTCCCCTACAGGGCCTAGCCCGCCAGCCCCAAGCCTCACCGCCGGCCCCCGCCCCGGCCCAGTCTCTGCGAAGCGGCGCCAGCCTCCCCGGGGAGCGGCCAGGGGAGGCGCCGGGTTCATGTTCCGGGTCGCTGAACCTGCCTCGACCCGAGCTCAGGCGGCGAGAAAGAGCTGGTAAGCTCGGGCGCGGGGGACGCCCGCTGGACAGGGGAAGGAAGGGGGCGCTTCTCCGCCGCCCCCTGCCCGTGTGTGGGGCCGCAGGGCTGCTGTTTGAGGGAAGGTATCGGAAGTACTGTTGCTGCGCCCTGCCCGGCCGCTGCCGCCCTGCGCCCCCTTCGTTGCCCGTTAACGCGGAGGGGGAGACGTTGGTGTTTTCCTCACCGGGTCAGAGGCATTGGAGGCCGGGCAGGGGTGGTTCGCCGTGGTTATAAACGAGCAATGTGTTGGAGGGAGGAACTTCCATCTCTTTGCTAATAAAGGTACAGCAGGTAAACGGTGGATCGGAACGTACCGAGTTTTGTCTTTGGGTTGCTCCAATCGATGTAGACCCTCTGAGGACTAAACCCGTTGCAGTGTATGCTGCAGAAACACCCTGTCAGGTGGTGGTGTTGCTCTGAAGCTATGTGGTTGTAAAACAAGAATCAACAAGTGTAGCTCTAGACAGTGGGCAAGGAAAAGATGGGGTGATGCTCCTGCTTTGGAGTTAACAGATTGACCGGTTTATGTAATTCATAGCATACTGACCCCAGAGGCCATAGTGGTTTTATTGTGAAACTGAGGAGACACTGATTAACAGAACGGAAAAAGAAAGAAGTGAGTTTTGTTAATAGGCCACGGAGCTGTAAAGACTGATAGTGGAGAGACTTGATGGAAGCCAGGTGTCCCAAACAGCCAGCTAGGAAGCCTTCAATTTCCTTCATGAGATGTTGCCATCTTGTGCTTAGGTAGTATGGACCGATGTGTGTAATTTCTTGTCAATTTCACTTTCCTTAGTGGAAGTGGGGAGGAGCATTGTAAGGTTTTGTTTGTGTGTATTTCTTGAGTGTTAATAATTTGAGGACTTGAGATTTTGTTTAGAGGCTGTGTTATCATACAGATAGATACCTGCTGGTAGAGTTCCCACATCTGCAATAGATGTTTTTAAATATAGGCGGGTTTGTTTGTTTATTTTTGGGGGATGGGCAAGAGGAGGAAAAGAAAGGCTTAGTACTTCATTTTCTTACATAGGAAACTCCCATTTTTTTTCTCCACTTCTGCTGCTACTGCTACTTTTGTACTGTGGGTATTTTGGTGCTGTGCTGCTTTATCTTTTGCTAAATAGGAAAGCTTTCAGAGAGGGATTTTGTTTGCCCAGCTGCTGTGTATTTGTTAGGAATATGCCAGTATTGCTTGGCATGCAAATTTGCCCAGCGTAAGTGTAACTTTGCTTTTGTGGATGTAGTTTAGAACACTTCAGAGAACGTGGTATTCTGTAGTGGTGGAAGTATTTTTATTTGAGTACTAATGCTGCATACAGTAGGCACATTGCAGAAGACATTCCAAACTTGTATCTGTACTCGGAGGAAGTTTTCATTGCATACTCAACCTGTCATTTGTCTTTAAATTTTACTGGTTTGTTTCCACATAAAATAATTTCATTGAGGCTATAAAAATGGTGTTCATCAGCACAAGATGTGGGAATTTGACCTATTCTGTCATTGTCATCAGACAGTAGTAATTTTGCTTCTGCAGTAGCACTGCCTGGAGCAATTCAGTGCAGAGAGAGTTATTGAAGTCTTGTCTATAGGACTGTTAGTTTAGAAGTTCTGAAGGAAGATCCTTTAAAAATCTGACTGCTGCTTAGGGCCCTGTCTTATACATCAGCTATTTCAGAAGCTGTCTGTTAAAGGAAACCCATTTGAGTGAGATACAGGAAAATCTTTTATTTGATGTTTAGTGCTTGATGTAGACAGTTAAGGACTTGTGCTTTCTAAAAACATGAAGACCCTGAAGAAGTGTGTAGATTCAAGACAGCTCCAGAGTAAGTGTTCACTTTCGGTGATAAAACTCCTCTGAAGCTGAATGTTTTGAATTTATATATTGTGAATTCAAGTGACAATTTAGGAATAGTTTGCATTTGGGTTCTTACTGGGCACTTTGATTCTTTTGATAATGACATTGGCACTTTAACAGTTCATGTGTTTCACCACCTTAACGTTTCATGAAGTCATACTTCTGCAAAGGGCAAGCATATCAAGAAATGGCAGCAATGGGATCACAAGAATTGCTACCTCTATGAGAAATTGCTTCAAATCTCATTTCTAGCTGACCAGTTTGTTTGTGTTAGACCTTTATTAAATGAGGTTCATGGCAGCATCTTCCTGCCTGTATACCATTGCTCTGTACTGAACATGCTTTCACTGTTAAGTATGAGTAGACCTGGTAGTATTTATTGTTGTGCTTTCTTAGATAAGGAGCGGTTGTAGAAAAATCAGATTATTGCACCTTTGTCTGTCCCTGATTTTTAGGGGGGTCAGTAGCATAATCAGTTAATAGAAGTCCACCATTCCTCAAATTCCTCTTAGCCTTTACAGGAAGCACTGGGCAGGTTCCTCAGAAGTGGAAGGGGATTTTTGATAGCTTGCTGTTACGCCCCTCAGCAATGGGTCAAAGGCTTTTTGGGCACTGTGTAGGTCTGTGTACCTGGTTGTCCAGTGGACAGTGCCTAAGGACATAAATACGTGTGGATGTGGAAATGGATGTTTTATGTCCTTCTCTTGGTGATGGCTGTTTGGTGGCAGGTTTGTTTAAAGAATCTGGGCACAACTTCTGTTCCTGATGTATAGCGTAAGCTTCTACATAACACTGGTTTATCAGTTATTTCCTAATCTACCATTGTCTCTTACTAGCTTCTTAATACTTTTGTGTTGCTCCACTTTGCTTTCCCCTTTGCATATCCTAAGAACCATGATAGTTCTCTGGTTTTGAATCTATAAATCCTTCAGGCAAGGCAGTGTGCCCAGCTGAAATGCTTGGACCTGTTCAATCCAAATTTCAGTCAGAGTCATCAATAAAGCAAAAGTTTCAAAAGTAGCGATTCTAAGGTTTTGTGAAAATAACTTCTGAGGTGGGGAAATGGGATTCAAATTACTGCCTGTCAGAAGATAAAAAGATACACTGAATACAGGCATGTTACAAGGCATCAGAGAATCTGTATGGGAAAAGATTAGGGACGTCAGGTTTATAATCCCAATGTGCAAGGAACCACTTATTTTTTTTCTTGTGCTCTTTACTTGTGAGAAATGTGGGTTGTGAAGGCAGCAAAGATCATGGCTCTTCTCGGAAGCGATGAAATGCAGATGCAGCAGAACTTTAGCTGCAATAAACCCCATATGTATTTAACAGGAAAAGGTTTAGAACTAGAAAGTAAATGTAAATGCAGCTCTTGGTTTAGTAAAGGGTACTGCCTCTACATGACTTGTGTGACTAAATTAGCTTTCTTGTCAGTGTGTGTTAAATATTTCATGCGTAGTCAGAGCTCTGCATTTTTTCATTCTTTAGGTGGTAAGTGAACAAAAATGGCACTTAACTGTCACTAGAAAATCAACTGCCTATTATTTCCATTAGGAGTTTCAGTATTAATAATATTGAACACAAACTGCATGAACTGTTTTGGAGCAGGAGAAGACAGTTACACTGCTGCCTGCAACAATACTGTTAGGGTCTGTTCTGGTAAGGGTTAGGTGGGAAATGGGTCAGCTTTTAAACTGCGTGAAAATCGCTTCATATAAATGTAAAGGTCAGTGTAGGCAAACTAGATTTTCTTATAGTAAAGTAGAATCTTCTCCTAGTGAAGACACTGGAGTTTATTGCTAGCTGTGGGCTGTTGCTGTAAAAACACTTTTATAGCCTTACGTGAGTCATGCTAAACTACAGCTCAATATTTTATGTACCTCAATATGTTGTTCTACATTCCTTATTACAACCTTTGAAGTTGCTCATCTTACTGAATGCAATTGATAGTCACCAGTAATACCTTTTAACGCCTCTTGTGGTTATTTTTCAAAAGCAAATATTTTTGTTACAGAAACATCTGCAGCAGTGATTTAAATGACTTCATAGGTTTGGAATACAAGCTGGCTGTAAACAATGGAGGAAGTTGCAAAAGTGAGTTTGATAAATAATGCTGAAACAGAAATACACTTCTGATTTTCGAGACAGGTTTCAGATTAACTGTTCTAGCTGGTGGCTCTTGCCATTTTTTTTCTTCAATTATAGCAAGAGAAATGATTGATCCAATTAAATTAATTGTAAGAGGTTTCTTGGCTATTCAGAAAGAGATTTAGTGTGGACCACTGGCATGTTGCAAATGCAATGTGAATGAAAAGCTGAAGTAGTATGTGTATTGTTTTCACACAATTACAAAGGAGTTTCCACTGTCCCAGCTGATCAAGTATTTTCATAATCATCCTAAGGAAACATATGTTGGAGTAATTAGAATATCGATTTATCTGCTTTAAGAGGTAATGCAATTAGGATACAGTTACATCAAGTATATCATACAGTTTAGTCATGGCAGTCAGGTGAAGTTCCTGCCAACTGGAAAAAGGGAAATATAACCCCCATTTTCAAGAAGGGGAAGATGGATGACCCGAGGAACTACAGACCAGTCAGTCTCACCTCTGTGCCTGGCAAAATCTTGGAGCAGATTCTCCTGGAAAGCATGCTGAGGCACATGAAAAACACCAAGGTGCTTGGTGACAGCCACCATGGCTTCACTAAGGGGAAATCCTGCCTGACCAATTTGGTGGCCTTCTGTGATGGGGCTATGGAACTGATGGACAGGGCTAGAGCAGTTGACATCATCCACCTGGACTTGTGCAAAGCATTTGACACTGCCCCACATGACATCCTTGTCTCTGAATTGGAGAGACATCAATTTGATAGGTGGACCACTCAGTGGATAAAGAACTGGCTGGATAGCTGCAAACAAAGAGTTGTAGTCAATGGCTCAATGTCCAGCTGGAGACCAATAACGAGTGGTGTCCTTGAGGGATCGGTGTTGGGACAGGTCTTGTTCAAAATCTTTGTTGGTAATATGGACAGTGGGATTGAGTGCACCCTCAGCAGATTTGCCGATGACACCAAACTGTGTGGTTCAGTTAATATGCTGGAGGGAAAGAATGCCATGAAGAAGGACCCTGACATGCTTGTAATGTGATCTGATGCCAACCTTCTGAATTTTATCCATGCCAAGTGCGAGGTCCTACACCTGGGTCAGAGCAATTGCAGGCATAGCTACAGGCTGGGCAGAGAAGAGATTCAGAGCGGCCCTGTGGAGGACTTGGTGGTGTTGGTCGATGAGAAACTTAACATGATCCCATTTCAGTGTGTGCTCGCAGCCGAGAAAGCCAACCATATCCTGGGTCGCATCAAAAGGAGCGTGACCACAGGCCGAAGGAGGTGATGCTGCCCCTCTGCTCTCGTGAGACCTCACTTGGAGTATTGTGTGCAGTTCTGGTGTCCTCAACATAAAAAGGACATGGAACTGTTGGAACAAGTCCAGAGAAGGGCCATGAGGATGATCAGGGGACTGGAGCACCTCCTGTATGAAGATAGGCTGAGAAAGTTGGGGCTGTTCAGCCTGGAGAAGAGAAGACTGCGTGGAGACCTCATAGCAGCCTTCCAGTATCTGAAGGGGGCCTATAAGGATGCTGTGGAGGGACTGTTCATTAGGGACTATAGTGATAGGACAAGGGGTAATAGGTTAAAAGTTAAAGGTGAACTTTAGTTTGAATGTAAGGAGGAAGTTCTTTACTGTAAGGGTGGTGAGGCACTGGAATAGGCTGCCCAGGGAAGTTGTGAATGCTCCATCAGTGGTGGTGTTCAAGGCCAGGTTGGACAGAGCCTTGGGTGACATGGTTTAGTGTGAGGTGTCCATGCCCATGGCAGGGGGGTTGGAACTAGATGATCTTAAGGTCCTTTCCAACCCTAGCTGTTCTATGATTCTGTATTATATATGAGTCTATGGGTGTCAATTTTTAGTGTGAACAAGGTTGCTGCCCTGTAGAGATCTTAGTTCAGAAGCTGCAATGAAGAGACTTGATCTTCACTAGGACAGATTAATTGCAGGAATGCATAAAATTCAAAGTTCTAGTCTAATGGAAATTAAGTGCCTTTACTGCTCAGGGCCTTTTAAGAATGATCTCATTATTTAAACACTTCAGGGTATTTACTCTCCTTGAGTTTCATCTTTGATCTTCACTATCTGTATTGAGGACCTTTTGGGAGGAATTCAGGGCAAGTTTAGATCAGATACATAAATCCAAGCTGGATAGATTGTGTTTGATCTTGAAGTATTTCATAGAACTAAGGCAACTTTAGCCCCATACTTAGACTGTTACTTAGAGTAAGCTGGTGTGTCCACTCTAGGAGCTACATTGATTTTAGTGATAGCTATCCGTATGGATTAAGGATACTAAATTGGATGAATTAATCATAAACTGTGGTGTAAGAGATTAGTGTTCCTCTCTTCTCTATCCTCTTACTATGTGCTGCAGGAGATTATATATGCTAGTTCATATGCTGGCAAGTGAGCAGAAACCTGTTTGTTTCAAAAAGTAAATGTATGTTTAAGCCTACTAGTTGAGGTTTTGGTGCACCTCCACTTCTGTGACTTCGCTGTCAATGCAAAAGTCTGTGCCAGAAGGGCTGGGCAGGCAGCTGGGAGACTTGATGTCTCATTAACCCAAATAAATGTACTGGAGTTTGTCTGTTCAAGCCTTACAGCTTCTATTATATTAGTTCAGCAGTATTGGGAAGCCCCTTAAATCTCAAGGGCATCTCATTTCTGATAAGAGCACTTGTAAGGATAGTTGTCTTCATAGATGTTTAACAATAAGGCTGAAGGGGCTAGTTGTGCAGTTACAGCTATTGAGAAACACGGGTTAATATATCTAAGCATTGTGTGTAGAAACCCTATACAAATATACCTACACTTATATCTCCTGGTGGTTGAAATTCCTACTACACAATCAAAAAACTCAAGCAAAACCCAGACCAACCCCCCACACCTCTCTGCAGTAATTGAAACTTTGAAAACTCGAAGGAAGAATTAGTTTGAAATCATTGTTGTGCCACATATGGTAAATGCCCCATCCCTGGCAGTGTTCAAGGCCAGGTTTGACAGAGCCTTGGGTGACATGGTGTGGTGTGAGGTGTCCCTGTCCATGGCAGGGGGCTGGAAGTAGATGATCTTAAAGTCCTTTCCAACCCAAACCATTCTATGATTCTATGTTTTAAGGTAATTTCTTACTTAATTGCCCTCCACTTTTTTCCTGACTCTTCAGAAAATCATTGCTTCATTTGGAATGATTTTCCTCCTGTGTTGCTTCTCTTGCCTCTGAGAAGTACTTCTGTGTGATTATGGAGGTTTTGATCTTGTGAACCAAATGGATTAAGGGTAAAATGTAGCATTTTTCCAGAGCTGTCTCAGCTGTTACTAGATATGATGATTCTGCTATACTAAGAGCCAAAGGGAATGTTAGGTTAATAGGGAGTAATAGGACTAGAGATTACAGCAGGATGGAGAAAGAGGTATGAGAAATAAATGCAAATGACACAGTAGTTTCAGGAATTCAGAATGAACTTGTGTTTCTACCACTCTCTGTGCTTTTGGTGACCTGCAATTGGAATTTTTACAGTAAATTTTTCTGAATATCTTCAGGTAAGGTATTTAACGACCAGCTTGGACTTCATCTTAAGCATGCTCTTCATTTCCCCCACTGATACTCAAAACTTCTGTAGTGTAAGGTAATGAGTGTCCATTCACCATTACGTACCTTTAGCACTGGCATTTGTGGTGAGAGAGGTGAATCTGTGTGCTACATATTCAGATTTTCTCCACATCTCCAATTCCTCTTCATCCATCAATTTCTATTGTAAAACAAAGTGAAGGGTCTTGCTTTTAAGTGTCCTCTACATAATTTACTGAATGTCTTCCACTTTTATCAGTTGGTGTAATGTAGTAAAGAGGGTGACTGTTACTCCTTGCTTTACCTCAGTGAAAGGGTTCTTCTGATGCTTTGGTGTGAGAATCTGGTTGCTGTGTTCACAGAGTAGGTTCATAGCCTTCAGAGAATGATTAAGAGTTCAACAGTGATCGCTTAATGTTTTCTTTTTGTAATTATGTTCAGGTAATGCATGGGTGAACTTGCTGAAGAATTACAGGGTCAAAGTCATGCTAAATGCTAGTGAAATTTGAGGAGTAAGGAGCAAAAAAGGATAAGGCCTTAAATCAGACGCTGTGTGTTCGGTGGTACTTTTCCTTGCACAATCAGGTAATTTTGTCACGTGGGTGCCTGTACGTGATGGGAAACTTTGTATGTAATACTCTGGAATTCCCTCGAGCAGGGTATTGTTTCAACTTAATATCCCTCCACTGAATCAATATTTTAAAAGAAACAGATATCAGAATTAGTCACTATTAAAGTGTCATATATTATCGAAGAATTACTGTCTTAACTGCATTTTGGCACTTAGGCAGCATCAAGACATAATTATTCTTAAAAATATTTTATCGTAATGACAAATTTTAAAGAGAACTCCCAAATCTGCTGTCAAGGAAGAATATTACGTATCCCATTTTCCATTCACACACTTGAAATGTGCTCGCTACCTGCAGAGTGAAATGTCTTTGTTGATGCTCTTGCTGTGCAGAATCCCTAAAGACCATACAAATTTGATGAAGTGAATGGAAACAAAACATTAATGGTGAGGTCAAACACAAGCTGAGGATACCTTCCCCGTATCTCCCCCTCTTTCAAGCCAGAAATGTGTGTGGAATGCTGTCTTAAAAAGGATGTATGCTGTTGTGTTGCAAATTGCATAGGATTGGTCAGCAAGGTTTTGTCTCTCAGCAGAAAAACTAATCTTTGTAGAATGGATATTTAAGGCTACCTTACTGAAAATGACTATAATGATTTTGGAAGGTAAAATTGCTATAGTTTATGCTTAACACTTCAGATTAATTTGATGTTTTCTTGTGTGCTTTTTCCCTGGAAATGTGTAGGCATTTCAGTAGGACTATGGAGGAGCTGGTTCACGATCTAGTCTCAGCACTGGAAGAAAGTTCAGAGCAAGCACGAGGAGGTTTTGCTGATACTGGAGATCATTCTCGAAGTGTGTCTTGTCTTCTGAAGCGTCAGGCAAGGAAAAGGAGGGGACGCAAAAGGCGTTCATTTACCACCCATCATCCCTGGGAGACTGGCCACTGCTTAAGTGAAGGTTCTGATTCCAGTTTAGAAGAATCAAACAAAGACTACAGGGAGAATCATGCTAATAAGAAAGACCACAGTGACTCTGATGACCAGTTGTTGGTTGCTAAGCGCAGGCCTTCCTCAAACTTAAATAACATTAGGGGCAAAAGGCCTCTGTGGCACGAACCAGATTTAGCTGTCGACAGTTTAGGAAACAGAATTTTGCGCAGGAGAAGAAAAGTAAAACGGATGGCAATAGATCTGCCATCAGAAGTCTCTAATGCACTGACAGTAACTCAACAGCAGGATAACAGCAGAGATCAAGAAATGGACAATAACAATAAATCATACCAACACCAAGAGTTCTCCAAGAGCAAAGTGAAAAAAAGAAAAGTAGCAGCAGCTCGGCAAGGCCCGGAAGTCTTGGATGAAGGAGTAGTTATAGAAAGTGAAGAAGTGACCCAAGCAAATAAGGACAAAATGGAGTATGAGGAGCAAAAAGGCTCAGATGAGAACATGAGTGACAGGTTATTTTTTCTCTTCCTTTTTACAGAAACTTTGGATAATATTTGCTTTTATTATTTGTTTCTCATATTGGTAATCTTTGTATTTTTCTTGCATTCCAGAGGTAAAATGATAGCATCAGTACTATCTGTTTTAACAAATTACTCTTTAAGTGTACCATATTTCATACATATGAGTTGCTCTGGTTAAAGGAATTCAGTGTAAAATAGTATGTCACGTAGCAGAGGAATAACCAAGAAAGCAGGTTTTTTAATAATACTTTCTAATTGTTTCAAGATTAAGAATGACAGAATATACAAATGATTAATATGTTTTCTCTGAGTATTTTAACTGGTGACAGTTCTCAGACAAAAATTGGTTTTCCAATTTCTAGACTTTGGTGCCTTGATTGTTACCTCTACTCATCAGAAAGGCTGTCAGTGTTTAGTCACCATTTAGGCAGTATGTTCTTATGTGTCATGGGCATAAAAAGTCTGCAGGTTGCCAAGGGTATATATCATTTACGAAATGCAAAAACCAATTTACAGTTCAGAAACACCTGAGCTTACCATTAGAAAAATGGGGGAATGATGACCCTTTGGCAGTACATCTCATCCATCCATTCCAGACAGCAGTCATACTACAATGGTAATTGTTTCCAAAGTACTGTTTTGACAACACAGGAAGGTGTAAGTCATTTTTCCACCATAACCTGCAGGGCCTGCTAAGCTTGATTATGTTTATTCCATGTGCCTGTTCTGAATGCAGAACTGTCAACAAGAAAAGCTCATACGAAAACAGATAATTTTGGCCAGTTGCTTGATACAGTAGTGTCCCTGGCTGGTTGTAAGCATTTTATCTATAAACTGTTAAGTCTTTTCCTTGCTGAAGAGGTAGATTGAGATTCAGAGAGTATCCTGGGGTTTTGACCAGTGCAAACAGATTAGTTACTGTCATAAGAAAAGCGCTGGTAAGTGACTAACTCCAGTTATTGTCAGAGAAGTTCTAAGCCTTACTGTTACATCCTAGTGTTGTCTCTCACCTGCAAAGAATAAGTTGAAAGCTCAATAAATCATGAGTCTTAAAGATTGTTTCTGATGCTTTAATTACTAAAGCAGAAGCAGTCCTTCAGGGCAGCTAATATAACTTCAGGCATCTCCCTTGGACGTGCAAGATAGGACTGTGTGGTGTCAGGAAGCGTTTAGAAAAGTTTCCTCTGATGACACTGGGAGTCTGTTTCCCCCAAAAAGTTCCCCTAAAGACAGATGGCTAAACATTTCCTTGGTGCTAGGAACCATTGCATAGTTTATAATATATCCATAGCACTGTCACAATTTATAAGATTTTCTGCTATGCCACAAGAGTATCAGTTCTCTAACTGAACTGCAGCTAATTTTTGGGTGGACAGAGAGTGCTCAATCAAAAGTCCTCTTACAGATTCTCCAAACTGTGCTACTTCCAGCTCACTCTGAATATTTATTTATTTTTCACCAAAACAAAGTTATTGATTTAAAAATTCCTCTTCCTCTTCCAAATGTTTAATGTTTTGTTACCCCAAAAACTGCTCGTTTTCAAATCATGCTTCAAATGTTTGTTTCTGGCCCCGATAAATGACCTTTAAAACCATTCTCATCTTCACAATGTTTTCTGCTCATGTGTGTGGTCAAGTGATGGTCTGTCATTCTGCTGAATTTCTTGCACTGGTCATTGGTACCAAAAGATTTGGAAACCATTAAATTAGAAAATTTGCATTTTTTAATGTGCTTAGAAATCCACCATGCCTAAGCCTCTTGGGTGCCTACTGGATCAGAATATTTTGTATGTGAATAAGTTTAATTCTATTTTAGCTAACTTTACTTAAATGCAACGTTTCCTCTATTGTTTGTGATCATTTAGCCAGAAGAACTGGAAACAACTCGCAAACGTTGCTCCTAAAAGTGCATTCTAAAAGTAAAAGCTGAGGTTTTAAAAGGGAACATGGGTTTTGTAAGATTGCATGAGATACGGAGAGCTAACAAAGCATCTTGGATAAGACTTGTGCTTCAACACTTCATGGAAAAGGAAAAATATGAAGTATACAAATCTGCCTGAATTTTGTACATTTTTGTGCATACAGTTTAGTAATTTTTATAAAAAATAAAGGATAAATTTTTTAGAAGTTCAACTTTTAAAAACAAACCACAATCAACTGTTGGTGGGAGTTAAATTAGGTTCTGAAACTGCTGAGGGCAAGTTTTAAGTGTATGCATGAAATTACGTTAAAGTAACTTACCACATTTGAAGTGCACATTAAAACCGCTAAATGGCACTTCTTCTGCAGTCTTTATCTGTGTGTGTTCAAACACCACAATAACTGGTTTTAAGTGCATCATTCAGGAATAGGAGTCTTCAAGCTCTTAAAATGTCAGCATCTAAATGATCCCAAAGATGAATTACCATGAGGCTGGTTTTGAGCACTGGAAATGAGATTTTCATGGTCAGAGCCTGTCCTTTGCTCATTCTTCTTATCCTCAGTGCTTAGTTCTTGGCCACTTTCAGGAAGATTTGTCAATTCATGGAGTTCTGGATGATACTTAATTCCTCAGCCTGTAGCAATTGTTTGTGTTTAAGTGACTGAAGGAGGAAAAATCTCAATTGCCCATTTTGAAAGAGAGCAGCAGTAAAACTCAAGTGACACTTACCAGTCAGTGTGAGCACAGTGACTGTCAGCTCTTGGGGACGGGCTTGGTTAGTAAACAAAGGTCACAATATGAAACTAAGGTATGAGACAGTGTGCTATTAATAATAACTAAAGATATTTTTTCTTTGCTTCCACAAATGTATGAATAAAGCTGTGAAAGCTTTTTTGGAGAACAGAGCTGTCCCTTGCAAATTTTTGCTTGCATATACTGGTTTATGGGACTAAAAGGAATCTGTGTCTTTCTTGCTTTTTCCTGGAAGTCTTTTTCTAGGAGTGGAATTCTCATTACAAAGCAAAGTAATTAGCAACATACAGTGCAAAAGTATATTAAAACTGGAAATAAATTCCATCATAATAGCATTCATGTACTTGAGTATTAGTATATTCCAGAGGTTTTGAATGTCTTCAGTGAAATGACTGCCATATAGAAATTCGCTCTGCTGTAATCCCTGCCCTATTTGACTCTGGTCTGAGGAGAATGAACACTGTGGCTGCCATAGATATGCCACTGTTATGGTTTGATTTTAAAAACAAACAAAACAAACTACAAAACCAAACCAGTATCACCCACCCCTCACAACCCCCTCTCCCCCCCACCAAAAAAGACAAAACAAAAACCCAACAAAACCCAAACCACCAAAACCCAAAATACAGTTATGTGTAACTTTGGCAATTTCACTTGGTTGTGCTTTCATGAACTGGCTACTCCTTCAGTAAAAATTATTGTGCAATTAAAATGTTATTTAAGTACACATGTGAGATATTGTTTGTAACAATGTGTCTACAGCAAATGATCGTTGATCGTTAACCCTTTTCTTCAGGGTGACCTTTATTTTGATGTAATTGGCCACCTTTGTTAACAATTTTTGTCTTTCTCCCCAAGCGGTATGTTGTTAAACCTTAAGCAATGTCTTTTCCAGAATATTTGCAAATGGTGTTCAGAAAGGTAATCTGATTTTCAGGCTCTTGTATTTCATGTGCTGAAGCAAGGCTTAGGCTGCTTTTGATTGAGACTTTTCCTGGTTTATTGAGCAGTGGTGTTCCAGGATCAAGCTGAATTGCACAGCATAAGAAGGGAGCGGTGAGCATTTGATGGAAGCAGATAATAAAATGCATCAATTGTGACTGCAACAAGGTACTGACACATCTGGCTTCCTGTCAGGGTACCATTAGATTCCCATGGTTTTATGTGCCAAAAATAATATGCTTTGTAGTTAATGGAACTGAGATATTTGCAGTTTGATTAAAAAAAAAAAAAAAAGAAAAAGGAGAAAATCCTATTTTCTTTCCGATCTCTGTTGGGCTTAAGTTCAATCTGAACACAGGCTTGTCTCCTTAAAATTTTACGACTGAAAGATCAATTGTCCTTTTGATCTGTGTTCTCTCTTTTTCTTATTACAGTGAATCCAGCAGTCTGAGCAGCAGTGATGCTGGTTTGTTTACCAATGATGAGGGAAGACAAGGTATTGAAACAATCTTTCCCTAACACCCCTCAAACCACATCTGTTGAAATTCTGTAAGCATTACAAGTTATTTCGTAGGTTAATTACTCAATTTCAGTTGTTGTTACTATTTTAATGAGTTGAAGTATAGCTTGCTTTCTGCTATGAATGTTACCAGAGGGTGTCCTGGATCCATGACTTGGTTAAAAGGTGTCTCTTTATAATAAACTTATTTATAACTTGAGCATCTCCAGAAGATCATCTATACTATGTTTTAATTCTGATTTTCAGACAGGACTTAGTGATAATAGTCCCAATCTCAAACTGTTACTGAGGTGTCTCTTTTCTTCCAAATTGATATGTCAGGATTTTATAGTTCTTTTTCATTCAATAGTTTATTTGAAAGTACTTTTCACAGTACTTTTTCAGCAGTCTAAGACTGAAATGGAAGATGCATGCTGTGTAAAGTCTCTCCCTTCTGAAAACAATTTTCTTTAATGTAAAACGCAGAGAAGATTCAACATTTCCTGTCAGTGTGCATAATGTTCACACATGGTTTAAAACTGTTGAGGATGAAGTATGAGATTTTGGGGTTTGGGGGTTTTTAAGCTTTAGTGTTTATTGTGATTTTTAAGTGCAATACATTTACCTGTATTATGCTAGCATCTTAGTGGCCAGCTCATGGACTAGGAACTCGGTCTTTGACAGTATACAAAAATGAGGCAAAAAATAATCTCTTGGGTGATTAAGACTTGCTTTTTTTCTGTTGGCATTAAAATAATGGCAGTGCAGATCATTTTCTCATGCTGTTTGCTACAGACTATGGTGTGTGCAAGAAAACAAATCCCAGCCCATTCCACAGATCTAGGTTAAGGGAATGTTCTTTTATTTTTTTTCTTTCTGTAATGTGTAATTCATTTCTTTGGGGTTGTTTTTTTTTTTTGCCAATTTTTTGTAATTTTTTTTTTTTAATCTTCTCTTTTAACATTACAGTTGGGAGATGTTTTTTTCAGACTTAGAACACAGATGTTGCCTTCTTTGCTCAACAGTAACTTGTGCTACATACACTGTAGCTCCCAGTCTGAGTACCTGCTTTGAGTTGTGCTAGCGTAGCTAAATTTTAGAATTTAGGCTTTCTTTTGAAAGTCTAAATCAATGTTTTAACTTCAGTATTACAATACTTTAAGTATATCAATATCAGACATTTTTTTAAAGATTTGGTTTTACTTCCCTATATGAATATATTTTTCGACTTGCAATATTTTAAAACATTTGTCCTGTATATTTGTACAACATATTTCATAATTCCATACATGTTTTGAGGTACCCTTCCAATATATTTGTTTCAATTTATTTGTCCCTAAATTATTTAAATCTTTGAATTATATGGTTGAAAATGTCTCAGCTACTTACTGTTTTTCTTATGCATTTGATGGGAGGAGAAAAGGAGAAGGATCAGTGAACAATAGTGTGGTATTATCTTTTTGGTGTTAGTTCTTTACTATAGACCTGTAATTCTTTACCTGTTTGATTTTTGAATCCTGATTCAGTGTCATTTGCAAGCAGAAAGCATTAGACCTGAAATAATACTCTGACATGCAAGTGAAAAGAACATCAATAAGTAAACTCAAGAAAGATAATGTCAGGACAAAACATGTTTTAAATCTTTACTGTGAATGAATTATTTTGTGGGTATGATCAGAAGACCATTAGCTTCACACAGACATTTAGATTTGCATATTAGCTTTGGTTTTGTGAAGGCTTTTCCTTAAAAAGTACTATTGGACATCCTACTGCAGGACCAAAATTATTTATTTTCTAATAATAATTACGCCCCACCACCACCCCATAAAACTCTAGTAACTGTTACCTTTGTACTTCCCTTATGAAGATGAGGATAATTTATTTCTGTAAATTAATTTATAGCTGAACTGAGACACATACAAAATTGGAAAGAATGAAGGAAGAAGTAAATAAATCTTATAAAAGCTGCAGGAAAGCCTAAGGAAGAGAAACGAAAGTAGAAGAGGGCAGGATGGAAATGTATTAAGGGATGAACTGTCTGATTTTGTTGTCAGTTTTTTAAGGCTAAGCTCTGATTCCTGGCTTCCCAGTGTTCCTCCTCCAGGATATATGTTCAGAACATCAGCATCTCGACCTCATTTGTAGTTCAAATTTTCTGCACTTCTGACTTCAGGTTTCTGCTAAGTCAAGTGGAGAACCAGAGATTGATTGATGCTGCCTGGTGAAATACTTGGTTTAAATGATGTGTCTGCCATCATTCGCAAGTTTGGATAGCAGAGGACAAGCAGATCCTGTTCTCCAGGGCAACATTTGTTCATTTGGTGCCTCTGAGATTGAGAAGCAGACCTCATTTGTTGCAGACAAATGCTCTTTATAAAACCCTAATTAATTCCCAACGCATATTCATCCTATGGGACAGACTTAGTAAAAGGAAAGTGACCTAAAGCAGCAATTTCTTTAAGCAGTCAGTTAAATAGTTGACTTTTTAGCGCTGAACTTTGGAGTTCCTGACCTTGCAACTTCTAATATTTCCCAAAATTCTTTCAGAAAGCAAATGGGAATAAATCCCACCACAGTAATAGTGCTCTTCTGTGTAAAAACTCTCAGAAAAGTTTCAACTTCTCTAGTTTGATTCAAGAAAAGTAGGTGGTGTTGCAATTGGGAGTAGTAGTGGGTTAACTGCTAGTTGGATTTTAATTGCCATCAGTTGCTGTTATAGAAGAAAATGGCTGAGACTTGAAAATCCTGTGTTCAACTTTTAATATGTGTTGTGCCATCTATTTTTAAAAGCCTTTTCCAGCCTGCCTCTGTTCCAGTCTCATAGATTCCTTGTTTGATTTGGTTTTTTCCTATGAAGTCCTCTTCTGAGGCTAGCCATGCTTGTCCTCCTTTCTCAGTTCTCCAGATGCTTATGTTGGGTCATGTGAGAGAATGAAAGCAGCTTTCTTGCTGTGCTCTATTCCACTATCCTGTTACCTTCTGGCAGAAGTAATTGGTACTCCATGTCTTGCAGTCCAAAGTAGCAAATGCTTTTTGTCTGTGAAACATTGCATAGGCTGCACAGTAAGGCAGCAAACGCGTCAAGATCATGGTAAATGATCAGTGTAGGTACAGTCAGTGAAAAAGAGATCTGCTGAACTATTAATAAACCTCAAGAGAACTCTTATGCATTGTGTTTTGGGGTTTTTTTTGAGTTTTGTACATTGATCAACTTTGAGGAAAGATTTCATATAGCTAGCAAAACCCCCAAATCCTATGCCTTAAGCCCTTGTTTGTGGAGGTGGTGGTTTAATTCCAGTTGGCAACTCAGTACTACACAGCTGCTTGCTCACCTCCGGGGGGGGGATGGGAGGAGAGTCAGGAAAAGGTAAAAAACACTGCTTGAGAAAAGAACAGTTCAATAATTGAAATAAAGTAAAATATTACAATGATAGGAAAAAAAGAGGAATAAAATTAAAGTGATGCACAAACACAATTGTTCACCACCCACTGACCAATACCCAGCTTGAGCAGTGATCCTTCCCTTCTGGGTTACTTCCCCCAGTTTCTATATTGGGCATGACGTGCTGTGGTATGGAGTAACCCTTTGGAACCTCCTCACTGGCAGAGCAGGAGAGACTTAAGAACTCCTTGACTGGGGTAAGAGCTACTTAAGAACAACTTAAAACATTGATGTGTTATGAGCATTATTCTTAGACTAAAGCCAAAACACAGCTCTGCAGCAGCTGATGCGAAAAAAATTAACTCTATCCCAGCTGAAACCAGAACACAAAGTAATTGAAAGAACTGGACAGTGGCTGAAGCTTATGTGTTGCAAATCCTTATGACTTTGCTTTTTCTTCCTACTTTGTCCTTTGCTCCCTATAGCATTTTCATAAATGACTGTTTTGCAATTATAAAAACTTTAATGATAAGCAGTGTTATTCCTAGTGTAGAAAATTAAGAGATTTGAAACAAAAGGTGTAATCTTACATTGCAGCATAAAATACAAGTCTTACATAGGCTTAGCTAGTAGGATTGCCTGTGATTTCAAGCCATTTCGCAGGTCCACTTTACAAAGGCGCTTTAAGTTAAAAGCACTGTGTAAGTTAAGCCTTCAACACAATGTTAAGAAAACAGTAATGTTATCCAAACACTAGTTGATATTGCTGGGTTTTGGGGAAAAGAAGCCAAATAGCAAATATATTCTTCAATGAATTTTATATTGTGGGTATGGCAAAGAAAACATACTCTGCATTCCTATTCCATCTACACTTTCAAGTACACTTGGGGAAATTCAGAGTTGACTGAAGACCTCCTAAATCATGATGCGTAGCACTTGAAACGTCCTTCAAGCAAGTAGGAAGGAAAACTGTATTAATCAAGTGTTAAACAGTTAAAACTGGAGAAGTCAGGTTTCTGCTGTGGATGTGGCTACCTTTTAAAGGTAGCTCTTCATTATTTTATGATTAAATGTATATTAATTACTGTGTCTTTAATGAAGATGACCCACTACTGATTCTGTGTATGAGAATGCAATCCTTTTATCTTCTATGCAGAGGAAGTAATTTGGACTTTCTGGTAGCTGCAGGTGTCAGAGCACACTTGTATGGCCATCCTACTTGAGAGCAGGCCTTCATGTACAGTTTTCAAGCTTGAGTCAGAAGTAGCTGATTAAACTGAATGGTGGCAAAAGTGTCCTGCTACCCCTTTTGCCAAGGTAGCTCTGCAGAGCACAGAGAGCAAGATGCAGTGTGCCTCTTTTGATGAGCAACTTAATCTTCTGCTTTCCTGAAATTTGTTGTATTAGTAAGTCTTTGCATGTCTCCAAATGATTATTACAGCCATTAACAGTGAGGGTTTTTACCTGGAAAGAGGAACACTGGAAATGAGACTAGCATCCTAGGGTGTTTACGGGCCATGTGCTGTCACTCTCTGTGTGCAAGTTGATGGATAATGGACCAGCACAGTATCAAGTGGTGTTTGTAAGACCATGATGCCTAACTCTTTTCACAGTA